TCCTTATATCTTATTTAAGGGATTTATTACTTCTATGTACTAGCAATGTTACGTTTGCATTTGAAGATGATTGTTTCCGTCACACTGATGGTTTCGCTATGGCAAGTCCTTTAGGGCCTCTTTTGGCAGATATCTATATGTCGTAAATTGAGAATTTGTCGAAGGATTTAATCGCAAATGTGCCACTTTTTAAAAGGTATGTGGACGACATTGTAATCATCAGTGATAAGTCTTGTTCTTCCACCACAATTTGAAATTGAATGAATGAAGTTCAGAATAGCAAATCACTTACATCTGCAGAAGAGGAAGATAATTGTTTATTTTTCCTAGACATATTGCTTAGTCGACGGCTTGATGGGTCAATAAAAAGATCTATTTATAGAAAACTTACCTGGACAGGACAGTATCTTAATTACCACAGTTTCTGCCCTGTTCGGTACAAAAGAGACTTAGTAAGGTGCCTCTTCAGTAGAATCCAACGAATATGCACTGAAGACACACTTGATGAAGAAGAAAGAAAGTTGACACAAACTCTGGTTGATAAGAATTATCCAGACAAGTTCATCAGGAGATATAAAGTAGTCAGAACACCAAGATTCACTCTACAACTCGCCCCTAAGAAAGACGTGTACATCAAGCTACCCTATATGGGGCATCATAGCAGCTTGACAACTAGACAAAGATTGAACGCTGCTGTTAAAAAGACTTTTTATGCAGCTAATTTCATAATAATTGAGAATGTTAAGCCAATATATCAATCTAAGCCCTTTGAACATGCGAAAAATGATGTCACATCTCATTGTATTTACCAATTTGAATGTACGTGTGGACACACATACATAGGGAGGACTCATCGATCTCTGCAAGTAAGGGCTGGCTTCAGAGCATATTCCTAAATGGCTCCAGAATCAAATGGAATCTTCAGAACCCATTAATGATTAGAACAGGAGACCTAGCTCCTCTATTGCGAAACATATTATAGAGACAGGACATAAAATTGACGTTAACAGATCTTCTAAACCTATCTATAAAACATGTTTGGGGCGTATCCTAAAGTTTGTGGAAGCCCTAGCAATAAGAAAGTTTAAACCACCTTTATGCATTCAAAAACAATTCGTCATCACATTAAACCTTCTTTGGTAAACTTTGTTTTTATACCATAGCAGATGTACTCTTACCACTGTTATTTGGTTTAGTGATCTTCATTGTTATTTTGCCCTTCAATATGTCCTTTTAACTTGACCTAACTTGCTTATTTTCTCACCTCTTAACACTTTATTAATTCTTTAAATATTCCCATTTATAATACCAGAACAAGACATATAAGCGAACAATATTGTTTTCAATTAGATCTTCTTCAGGCTTTCCTCTAAGTTACATAGAGTCACAGAAGCGAAAACATGTTTAGATTTTATAAATGACTGTTTAAATAATAATCGATATCCTAAAATTTCCACTTCACCTTTTAAGATTTGACCTAATTTTTTATTTACTGTTTGTTAACATTATATACACTTATATACATATACTATCTTTGTCATTCTTCTCACCTGCATAAACCTTATTATCAAATTTCGTTCAAAACATTTACCACATTATTATTATTGTGGTTATTATTATTGAAAATCAAAACAAATGATTCAGCGAAGAGACTCTTTTCAACGAATTTATCATCAAGCTGTACAATCGTATATATATGGTTTTTAAGAAGTTATATCCGGTGAGGGAATTGAAACATAGGTGTGAATGCATGAAATAATAATAATATGAAGTGCAATTAAAACTAAAATGTTTGTGATTATAATCGTAGTTAAAGGTCAAGTGGCAAAGCAAATTAATGTCATATATAGAATAATTCATAGGATGGATAGAACTTGAAAAAGGTGTGCAATTATAAGATTAGTAGACAAATCGAAAAAATAAAAACGTTACGTAATATTGTGTGGAATTTAATAGCATAGAATTTAATGTTGCATAAAGGAATTGATTTAGAATGACAAGTGGAACAAGTGAAATAATACCGGGGACAATTAAAAATGAGAGTAGTAATAGTAACAATTGACTTCGTTCAACCCCTCCAACTTTCATGGTCTTAATCCCTCTATGCTAAAGTATGGGAATCCCCAATCATACTTCAGCTCTACCAACTCTCCATTTTTTCATTTTTTCATTTTTGTCTATTCAATTTGTATACTCTTCCTTATTAAGTCAATTGTTACTATTACTACTCTCATTTTTAATTGTCCCCGGTATTATTTCACTTGTTCCACTTGTCATTCTAAATCAATTCCTTTATGCAACATTAAATTCTATGCTATTAAATTCCACACAATATTACGTAACGTTTTTATTTTTTCGATTTGTCTACTAATCTTATAATTGCACACCTTTTTCAAGTTCTATCCATCCTATGAATTATTCTATATATGACATTAATTTGCTTTGCCACTTGACCTTTAACTACGATTATAATCACAAACATTTTAGTTTTAATTGCACTTCATATTATTATTATTTCATGCATTCACACCTATGTTTCAATTCCCTCACCGGATATAACTTCTTAAAAACCATATATATACGATTGTACAGCTTGATGATAAATTCGTTGAAAAGAGTCTCTTCGCTGAATCATTTGTTTTGATTTTCTATATGTTACAATGGGAATTTTCCATGGTTATTATTATTACTGTTATTATTTGATTCCCAAAATCACCGTCATTGGTTAAAATTTTATATATAAATCTATGTAAATTAGAGTAAAGCCTGAAGAAGATCTAACTGAAAACAATATTGTTCGCTTATATGTCTTGTTCTAACTTTATTAATTTCATATATACTCCTATGACAAGTCCAGGTGTAATAAGATTGTTCGAAATGTGTTGCGTAAATACATTGCACGATTCAGACAAATTACGCCTTCTAACTGCTTTGTCTAAATTCATAAAGGGAACTAACTGTTTTGAATATTATAATGATTATTTTCATTATTGTTGAAAATTCGAACAACGGAATTCATTATAATAAAGATTTTGTTGTATTTCCCAATGAATGAAAAACAAAACGGTATTGTTTTTACTGACGTCTCACTATTTAATGCTAATGGCTTTTCCAAAGTATTGCTAAACCAGAATTTAAAAAATCTCAGCTTATATATAACAACTTGATCATCGTTCCTCAGTATGGGGTCATTTTTCCGTTGTCAAACTGGCCAATTGGTAAAGACAACAAAACCAGGTGTATATTGTTGGATTTGATAAGTGTATAAGATTATAAAAGCAGCGTGTCTTTACATAATGAGAGTGCTTATCACATTCGTGTTGATTTTTTCAATTCATGGAGAAGGGGGTGTTGTAACCAGGTCAACTTCTGTTTTAGTCCATCATTCCTATTCAGTTCAGACAATTCGGATTACACTTGATATGAAGTGCTTCTGATGATATTAGACGTTCTTTGTGATTTCTGAAATCTTTCTGGATAATGATTTCAATATTGTCAAAATCAATTTTGTGGCCTGATTCTATAGCTCGTGTAGACGAGCTATGGCTGATGATTTTTCAAGCTTTTCTAGTTCAACTGGATTTCTCGATGGTCGAACAGATGCTCTTGGGTGTTCATTTCTTCTGATTATGATTTCTCACGATATTTGGCCGATGTATATCGCATCACATTCGAAGCATTTCATTTCATAGACACAATTAATTAGAGAATCTTTTGAGATTCGGTCTTCTATGTGGATAATGTGGTTTCGAAGAAACCTCTGATGTCACGCTTATTGAGTACTCTTCTGATATCGTCTGACGTCCCAACTTATGGAATGAAACACAGAATAGAATGAACTACAGAACCTCACAGAATTATATCATAACGTCGAGTGCAGTTCAGAAAATTACAACTAAGCCGAAGCCCTTCTAAGTTTCTCGAAATAGCAATATAAAATGTATACAATGGAACGGAACATATCTGACAAACAGTGTACCCCTATCATTTCTCATCATTCTCGTTACACACTATGGACTCATGCAGCAATGTAAGATCTCATGAAAATGACAGTACTGGTGTCCATCGAGACTGAACAAAGTGATAAGTAATGATGAAATTAGTCAGGTTCTTCCGTAACGTTTAGCAGCTGTTTCGATTCTATGGGCCGCGACATCTTTTCTTCTTCTGACAAATACTATTTCACTAAGAGAGCAACGTTAGCTGAAATAACGTCAGACTGAAGAATAGTTACAAAAGTGAAACCAAAATAATTCGACAAATCGAGAAGTCAGCTTATGTTGGTGAAAGCCACGTAGGAAGTAGCAAATTTCGTGTTTGGTGTCATCGAAATACCTAAAACTCAACTGATGGAGAAACATCTGGATATAGTCCACACTGTCATAGGTGTATTCATTGCATGTCATTATCCGAATTCACAAAGTCCTTATTAATCTTTGTTTAGAATACCTGCACAACATACACCTGAGTCAGTCGTCGTTTTCTCTTATCTCATTAGGCATTATTTGGAATATTTTTGCACTGATTCTACTCACTTCATGTAAACAAATTTCTGTGGTTCCATGGAAATCAGAATTTATGATCCGTTGACGCGAAATTCGACAAAGTGGTTCACACAAATCAGAGTTAAGTGTCTTTCCCATGAAAATTGTAGTACTTTTTATGCCTGAACTTAACTTGTACCTATGAGAAATATAATTACTTGCATCCGCTTCATTGTAACAAAAGTGCCACACTTGTACTCCTCTCTTTCCTCCTCTTACTTTAGTTTCATCATATTTATTGGAAGTACTCCCCAAAGTAACTCTTGCATACGGTTGGTCGTGTATTGTTATTCTAAGAGTAAAGTGGGTCCTTTAAATTTGGTTAACAAATCGTTCGCCCCATAAGTCGATAGCCATACTCAGTCTCATTGAGTTTACCCTAAATGCTTGACCATGCAAAAAGCAAAAAGATAATTCATGCTTTCATTTAATAGACTTTCTTGTGATTGCATCAGTCTAATAGTAAACAGTAGCATTAAAATCATTCAGTGAATTGAAGAATAAGAATAAGCATCTATGTGAGTATGATGGATTCCAATAAAATGAACATGAAATATCTATGCGAACTGAACATGATTTTATATTACGACTAAAGTTAATTTGAAGTTGCTGTAGTTCCTGAAATATGTTAAATTGTGTGTCATCAGTAGACAGAGACTCTGCAACGACAAACGATAATTCCAAAACCATGGTCACGAAAAATATTCCTAACAAGTATATCATGCGTAACACAGATTCACTGCATAACGTCTGAAGAGAATGTATTGCTTGTCGAATATTCTCCGTATTATCAGTCTCGACAGAAAATTCATTTATCTGCTTATCATCCATAAACTTCTCAATAGTCATCTTATCTCTGCCAATCAACACTGTATCAGCTGAGTTTTGCTGTGAAAATCCCATTGAATTTTGATACTCATATTGATGAGGACATAAAGTCAATTAACAGCTCACAGTTTCACGTGCAATTGGTTAGCTGGTGTGCCACTTATGACACACTGAATGTTTCAATCTCTCACAACTGTTGATGATGATGTTATGCCCACTATCAACAAACATCAAACACAGGGTGAATAATAGAATGCAACACAGCAGGGAAGTGTGCAGGCTGTAACACGACAAGATTCAATAAACCGATTATGAAGTGTTACTCACTCAATCACTCACTCAAAATAACTGCGAAATCTGAAAACTTGATATTAATTTTAACATGCACAGTTAGAAACGTTCTTTGAAGTGACAATGATCCTATTGTGCGACAGTAGTATCATATATAGTCCATATATAGTGGTCGACAGTTGCTGAGAAATGGATTCCGTTGTTATGCCTATAAACAAGATTGTATCAATTTCTAATTTCAGGGGGAATCCAAATTATTCTCTCAGTACATAATTGTAAGCAAATTCGAAAATTACGGAATAAAAGTCTATAACTGAATTGAATTGAAGCATCTAAAGAACTTACGGTGGTTTGTAGTTGTCTACCATGTATAACATCGAGACGTTGTGTAGGCGAATTGATTCTCATGTAAATGCCCTTTCATCTATATACTTGTGAAAATTCAATCCAAATTTGAAGTTTGATCATGGAGAACCTTCTAGAACCAAGGAGTACTCAACAGCCATTTAGCCATCATGACCCTATCATGACATTCAGCTAGTGTCCCAGATACAGCGCGACCACCAGCCAGTGTCTTCGATGAATATCTATCCATACACCTAATTTGGTAGACCACGCTTGTCACAGATACCGGAAAACGTCATCCTATATTCGGTCAATAGTGCGAATTAGACTAATTTTCACATGTTGTCTTGCTCGGATTTCAAGATACTTTTGTTGACAGAATGCTTTGACTTCGACCCCTAGTGTAGTCTTTGATGCTTAGCAGTTAGTTGGCGATCACAAACAAGGACACAGGAGCTATTCAGTACTCCTTGGATTTCACTGGTTCTCTGATTGAATTCAATCCATGATCAACCTGCAAATCGATCGAATCGCAACAAACAGACAAACAATTGACAATTCACATTGTCTTCGTTGTTGGATTACTTTAAATGGAAATAGTCATCCAAATCGATATATGTATATACATACATAACAGAGATTTCTTCTCTAACACCTTTGACACAGAGGCTTCATTTGCATCCACATACGCTGGCATTTACACGGAAAAATTCTACAATTATGATACTGAAATCTTCACCTGTTACAGTCCAAATCTATCGCATTTGTCAAAGGTTAAGAAATGAAGTGTATTTAGATCACTTCCAAATAACACCAGCTGACGAGTCCCAAATAGGACGAAATGCGCATCATGGATTCCACTGCTAGTCACCATTCACCAATTAAATACTAATTAAATGCCCAGACATCGTCGAAGCATCTGCTCAAGAAGCCGACATGTCAACCTGAGACCGAGCACTTCGGTCCAATCAATCGACGGGAAAATCCAAAATTCAATTAAATTCCTGCTCTTTGTTAACAATACAGTGTTATGTCATTTTACATTTATCTGTGTTAGGAGAAACACTGAGATAACCAAATTACGCATCCATCTGACATTTAGACCTTAGTTTCTACATGTCAGTTTACATTGTTGTTTGTATTTCACTCACCCCATTTATTCATTCAGAACCTAATTCTCTCTCACCCCAATTATGACCCCTGAAATCCTATTGGTTGTTGACAGTTTAAATGAATCAATGGTCATTTTGAAATATGCATATACGCAGTCGCTGTCAATCACCTTCACTGTCGATGGGAGACAGTAAAACTGCCCCCCACCTCAACAGTCACACTTCTCTTCCTTTCTGCATGCAACGCGGTTATGGTGATATCGCATCGCGTTGCTGTTGTCTGGTTGTTGCCAATATTCGTTGGAAGAGAAGGCTAGCGAATCGACTAGCTGGGAAATTCGTTAGCCTCACTACAAGTGGATTAACAGTCATACCGAAATGGCCGACGGGTAGTTTCACCCTCTTATATTTTTGCTTGACACACTGATACAAGGAAGTCAATCCTCGAACGCTGCAATCACACAAAATTTGATTGGCACAGGAAATTGAGTGGGCATCTCAAATCCCATCAAAATTATAAACAAATGAGCAACTCACTCATCTTGAAAGTTGTGTGAACCATGTTTTGTGAACAAGTTGGAAAGATTGCCGTAAGTTCCTCTCTGCCATTGTAGCTTGTCCTTGATCTCTAATTATCTATATCATCTGTTATTAAAGGTGAAAGATGTTTTCCTCACTTTGCTTATATTTACACACATATGAAATTCAAGGCTTCATATGGCTGATATCTGAGTAAGTCAGCTTAACTCCTAATATTTCCTTCGCACATTTCATTTTGCATTTTGTTATGAATTTTCTAATGACTAACGTTATCGTGCAATTGATGCTCACTGTTACCTTGTTCCCAACCTTCAAATAAATTATCGCGTTCAAATGTATGCTAATGAAAATATAGAAAATTCAAGAGATATAGCTCCCCAAAGAATATTCCTTTTCTGAGTGTGTATATTTCAACGTTGCACAGATAACTAATATTCAATAGATTCCCCTTAGGATTCACGAATAATAGCCACTATAAATTCGTCGAATTTTACCAATTTTATAATATACGAATACAATACACGCAAAAACGATCCTTCACATAGAGCAAAAAGAATCGTCGAAGAGCAACTCTTCGATAAGCATAGTATTTTGTTCCATGTTGGTTTGTTTATTAGAAACTCACTGGTTACTGAAACACACACATACACACTGATGTCAATTAAAACGATATAGGTCAGAAGAAAATATTCTTTCTGTAAACTTACTTAAATGTTGTGCAGTCAGTCATCTATTGTTCTTCTATTGTTCAGAAAAATGCCGATGAGGTTAACAGTTCACTTCAGCTAGCAACAAAATACATGAAAATACATGCACAGAAATATGACAAATCACGTTATCTAAGGACACTGAGTGATGAGAAATGATGAATACATTGAAAACAAGAGCCTCTCGGAAAAGACAAGATTGTTGAAAACAGTGAGAGATTCAGAGCATCTATGAAGCATATTTTAAATTGAGGTGTTTGAAAGGAGGGAGTGAGAGGAGATCGATGCAATGAATAGGGATTAATCCGGGGATAATTCTCATTGGCTGACTGCACAACATTTAAGTAAGTCTACAGAAAGAATATTTTCCTCTGACCTATATTGTTTTAATTGACATCAATGTGTATTTGTGTGTTTCTGTAACCAGTGCGGTTGATTCACTTTCAATGATGACTGGATTACTGAAACTCAGAATTTCATCTCCAAAGCCTACTCAATGGAGTAACGCACTGTGGCAGCTGATTTTGTTCTGATTTGGAAGGTGGCGGAGCAAAATGTGATGGAAAGCTGAATATTGATGCTATTTCCTTATTCGTTATATACACTGCTAGTTATATATTAATTAAAGAGGACTACTTGTTGTGGAATTACTTTATATGACGTTTTGTCTATATGTGCTTCTATGAGGAAAGTGAACAGATTATAAACACTAAACTGATAACTTTTACGAAGTTCGAAAATAAAGTGATGTTTGGTATTAGATGGTTGGAGGCAATCGGCAGGAAGCCTTGGACCTAGGTTTCGTGCTGGTTGGCACTCATCAGCAAGGCGTATCTGCAACCTTGCTGATGAGTGCCAACTAGCACGAAACCTAGGTTCAAGGCTTCCTGCCGATTGCCTCCAACCATCTAATACCAACAATCCACAGTGCACCGTAATGGTGAGCCACCTAGCATGGTGGCCACATTGCAAACATGACTGATAGAATTCAGTCTGCACCGAAGATAGGACTAGACACATTACACTAGTTACTGACTAGTGTGCAATCAAAAAAAGTGATGTTTATTTGTGTATTGAAAAAGTCATCATATTTGTAGTAACTCGCGTTTGCTTCATGCAATGAGCAAGAAATCCGTGATGATGCGATAACAAGTGATCATTTGAAATTTCCGACTTCCTACACACTCAAAATAAGCGAATTAGTCTGATTTCAGGAGAAGTCATCGAAAACCGATTTCTTTCATTAAAAACAAATGCTCAAGATGCTTTGTACACTTTTGTAGAAGACCTAAACTCGAATTTATTCGCGTTATTTCTGCAGTTGTTTAGACATTCAGAGGCGCACGTGGAGAAGCCCCAGTTCACTTTGGTGATAAGAAATGCGCTTATCAAATATCTGTAGACTTAGGTATAACTGCAAGCACTTATTCTGAGGCTGCTGGAAACAACATTGACAAAAAATTACGTCAAAATGAATCAAAACTGCATTTCCATTCTCAATACAATTTTATATTGTAGACATTTATTCCATTATTATAATTGTTTTCAAGTTAACAAAACTGAAGTTCAAAAGAGAATTTTGTGGTTAGCTTAATTCTTCAAATGTGCGAGAAAGATATATGAAGAAAATGGTGTTTTAAGCAAAGTTTATTTACTCTAGAACATTACTCGTACTGACGTGGTTTTTTCATGATTTTCTTTTCGACAATACATGTGGTAGTGTTAATCGTGTTGATTGTCGACCTCCAGGTTTGTACGCCGTTGCCTGAACCAAGCTTGGCGATAATAGATGTTGGCCTGTTGTTGTTGTTGTTATTGTGACCACTCCGTGGCTGAGTTCTAAACAGATTCTGTAGGTTGCCGCCAGGTATAGTAACATAGTATGTTTTTACTCTGTGATTGTATAATAGTCTGTTATGACCACTCGGTGGTTTTAAGTAAAATACGCGTGGTTTTTCAGGGTAATTTATTGGCTTGCTACTACCACTGGGTCTAATAACAGAAATTGTCGGTTTGTTATTTCCACTGGGTCTAACAACAGGACGAAGTGGTCTGACATTACCTCTGGGCGTGGTAACAG